TGTTGAAGATAATCATCTACGATGCGAGCCCTGTGTGGTCTTGCATTGTCGTCCTGTAACAGGGAAAGCACCACCTATTGCCCCGGCATATGGGCGCACATAAGCATCAAGGATGTCATCTTTATAAATATGAGCATTCACGGTTCCCCTTGGAAAAACATGGATGTCTGTGCGTGCACCCAAAGAGATGCCACCCCCAAACACAGACACTGCTTTTTCCGTATGCATCTCTTTCACGGATGATAACGGGTTCCAGGTTCTCTCCATATCAAATAACGCCCACTATCGCTTTCTAAACTAAACCGGACTCATCCGTAAAGAGAATAGCCCTCCATTGCTCAGGCGTCCAGTGGACATGTTGTCGTGTCCACTGCAAACGGTCCCTCCTATGGTGTGACTTGAGCGGCACGCAAATGGTTGTTCGCCTCGCATACAAACCACCTTCGTGAAGCCTTCTACGCACAGTTGACGTTGACACCAACCTTCCGGTGGCTGCAGCAAGGGAGGATCTAAGAACAGTCGGAGTAGCGATTCTATTCCTGACTGCACATAATGTCGGCGCTCGTCGTAGCAGTTAGCCGTCCTTGGCTTGACCTCCTAGGTGCCGAATCTGTGATTTTAAATTGCCTCCAAAGTCTATGAACCACAGAAGGACTCACATTTAGCCATCTGTCCACTTCTGTTTGACTTTGTCCTGCCTCTGGTCTCCCAAAGGCTTTCTGTCGTAGTTCTGCAGGCTTAGTTTCATATTTATCGTGTTGAATGTTTCTCATAAATAGTTCCGCAGCGCGTTCTGTGTTAGGCGATATGTCGTGGAGAAAGACGATTCGTGTTTTTCACCTTTTGAAGACTCAAATAACTTCAATAATTTTATAGTTGACATTGGGCATTTTAATGGTTTTGCAATTGACCTTGGCGAATTTTCGTCTAACATTAAAGATCTTACTTTTGCAACATTCGAAACATTCTGTTTCTTCCTTGGATACGTATTTGGAACAATTTTTCCATTTGAAGCTAAATTTTGAAGTGTTTTTCCTTTCTTCTTCGCATTACTTATCTAGCTGTAGTATGTTGAAAAATTGTTAATTATCATATGTGCACAATACTGTCATATTCAACGACTAATATGCCATATACTGAGCAATTATTAGCATATGTACAAAAAATTTTTATAATTGAGTGACTAAATATGTCATGTATTGAACAACGTTTTTTAAAATCTAGAGACGAATCATTTTCTTCGTATCTAGATTTTAAAAATCTTCCTTGGATACGTATTTGGAACAATTTTTCCACTCGAAGCTAAATTTTGAAGTGTTTTTTCCTTTCTTTATTGCATTACTTATCGTAGCTATAGTATTGAAAAAATTGTTAATTATCATATGTGCACAATATTGTCATATTCAATGACTAATATGCCATATAGTGAAAAATTATTAGCATATGTGCAAAAAAATTTTATAATTGAGTGACTAAATATGTCATATATTGAACAACGTTTTTTAAAATCTAGAGACGAATCATTTTCTTCGGAAAAAACACTTAAAATTAATTTTTTGCATCAAAACAAAACTGTCAAGTAGCAAAGGATAATTTATACTTTCAAAAATATATTTGCAGTTTAAAAAAATTTCAAGCAGAAGATTTGTTTTCTACAGCAAAGCAAAATCGTTTAAAATATAAGCCAACAGCCTCTGTATGTTTCATATTCAAAAGATAAATATCAAATTTATGAATTTGATATTTATGAAATTTATGAAACGATTTTTGAGTGACTGATATATGTTGTAATGACAAACTATTGATTATCATATGTGCAAAAAATGGTTATATTGAGTAACTAATATGTCATATATTGAAAAATTACTAATTATCGTATATCCAAAAAATTGTCATAGTGAGTGAATAATATGCCATACATTGAAAAATTATTATCATATGTGCAAACAAATTGTTATAATTGAGTGACTAATATGGCATATATTGAAAAATTACTAATTATCATATATCCAAAAAGTTATTGAGTGACTAATATGTCATTTATTGAAAGATTGTTTATTATATATATACAAAAGCATTGTCATATTGAGTAAGTAATGTGTCCTATATTTAAAAGTTATCAATTATCATATATCGAAAATTGAATTGACTAACATGTCATATATTGTAAAATTATTAATTATCATAAATCCAAAAAATTGTCATATCGTCATATATTGAGTGAACTCCTATACTAAATAAGCAATTGTAAAATTATTAATTATCATACATCCAGAAATTGTCATATCGTCATTTATTAAGTTAACTCCTAGATTAAATAAGCAAACTAAAAATTGTAAACTAATTTCAGCAAATTCATCTTGTGTTAAATAGAGCAGTTCTCTTAACTAGGAAAATCCTTTAAAGTTTCTTATTCCTATACATTGAATCGGAAACGATATTTCAAACACTTTAAGTTAAACTACTTAGTGGTTTTGATTCACTTATGGACATTTTTTTTCCTTCTCAGCTAACATAACAGCGAAAAATTCAGAAGTTTGTAGTCATCTATGTTTATTCTGTCGAGAAGCGAAGTTTATTAAGGATTAAAGAATCTTTATCGAAGGATTAAGAATCTCGCGAGAAGCAAACTTTGATAATTAAATTACGTAGACTTTAAGTCCACGTTCTGTGATATTTTTGAGAAACTTTGTTGGCTGGCATGTGATATGATACTTTAATAATTTTTTAAACATTGCCACTACTCTTAGAGCTTAAATTAAACAAAAGTTGTAGGAAGTTAAATTACATTGTAGGTTTGTGTACTTACTTAACTGTAATATTACTCTAGAATTCTTAAAATATATTAAACATAGATATTTGTTACATTCGATAAAAATAACAGCTGCTTGAAGTATTAATAAATATTTAATAAATGTGGCATGTTATGGTTGCTTTTCCTGTTGCTCTACCGATTTAAACGAAGATACTATTATTTAGTAAACGACACGAAAATTGTGTCATTTTCACTGGGTGTTTGATATGGAATACCATAGTAGATAAACATATAATATGAAAATTATAATTTATACAAAAGAAATCACTGAAAAATTCAGATACTTTTTTTTTATTTAATTCGTATTTTGTATTTATAAGATAGGAAGAACGTACAGTAATTGAGCGCGTAAAACGCTTTTAAATCTAGGTTCCTGTGCTGATAAATCAATTTTATTTAATTTTAATTATTATCTTATTCATTATTTTTTATTTATTAGCCCAAAAGGGCGTTAGCCCGAATGGGCTATTAGTCTCGAAACGGGATTTAGCCTTGTCCACTTTAAACGACCTTGCCACCAAATATTATTACCCTTTATTATTTTTAAATAAATTAAATAATGAAGTATGCATATATGTATGTATGTATGTTCCTTACATAGTAAAAAAAAAAAAACAATGTTTAACTAAAAATTGTGAAACACGACGGTTTACCTAAAACCACCTAATTCTGAATAACGTAGTCCTCCATCCGAACATAGGCACCTGGAAGCCGGAAAATTTGAATTTCGAATATCATGTTTTCTTATGAAACTTTAATGAAGATTAGTTTTTAATTGAACTCGATTGGATTATTCAGTTATGGCAAAGCACACGAGGACTATCTGCCTAAAGGGAGGGATGCCTTCGTGGAGGACTCTCTAAGGGAAACTGACTCGTATACACGTTACACATGGGAAAAACCACGAAAACGCCCATGCAGCCAGCCCGTTCGCGGGATTCGAACCTCGGACCGAACTACTAGTGTTCAGCGTCTTTACCGCTCAAAGATTAGTTTTGATTGCATTGTTTTGTAACAAACTGTACAATTTGAGAGCTAGCAGTGGCATCACTGTACGATATGAAACATTTTTATATCTAGTGCGCGAGACTCTATATCAGAAATTCTAAAGTTACGTTGTTTTTAAATATTTGTTAATTATAAAAAGAGGAAAAAAACAGTTTTGCAAACCATTTTTTACTAAGAAAACTGAATACCATATGATGAATAATAAAATAGAAAATGTGGAAAAATAGAAAAATATAATGCTGCATCGGGGAATTATAAATATATACTGCTATACTGCTTTTAAAATTTTTGAAATTTTGTTTCTGAATTCTATATGGCATGAGTGCAAAGGAAACGATGCTTAATAATAAAGCTAAACAGACAAATTAAATTGGGTTAGAGGGAGTAAGGATGACAGCAGACCGGTAAACTATGAGCTCAACGAGAATGTAATAAAACCATAACAAACAATTTCGGGCTACCTCTAGAATCTGAAACCTTTCAGATTTTGCTTTATTTTTATATTTTATTTTTTAAATATTCTAAATATATTTTTGCTTTCAGCCAAATTTGCATAGAAATTTCTGAAGAGTTGTAATAATTTTGTGAATTTTAAAATGCAATTGCAGGGTTAAAAATATTTGAATAGACATCATTCTCAAATGATATTTGAGGTAGTTTATAACGTGTTATAGCGTTTTTTAAAACGATATACAGAAATTTGTGCAATCGTTTCAACACTGATGGCACGAAGTACATTAAAATAAAGTCCGCTTCTGTAGGAACCCGTTAGAGTAATAATTCCAATAATTAAATATTTGTTACAATATTATGAACTGAAATACCACATACGTTTCACATCTTCATGTGCAACATTTGCGACAAATTGAAGACTGAAACTACTGGCACTATCATTCGAACTACTATCATTCAACTAATTTCAGGATTTTTGAGAATAGACTTAGCTAGCAAATGCAGGAGAATGTGGGTGATCTCTTTTTTTTAAAGTTTTTAAAATAAATCAGTTTTTTCTCTGTTTCAACTCTCAGTTTTTAAAATAAATTTTTCAAACATATTTTGTGTGTTAAAAGAACAAAACTCTTTGTTTTAACTGATGAAATCCTCTTCTTCTTCAGATCTGCATCTTTAGATTCTGTTGGTTGAACGTAACCTAATATATTCTTTTACTCTTTTGTAGGAAGTCGGAGTTTTCACTGTATAGTTCTGCTCTGTCTGTAAATCAGAGAAATGCAAAACTGTACAACAACATGGGACATGTGTTGGAGGCTTTAGAGAGGCACGAAGAAGCCCTTAAACACTACGAAGAAGCTATCAGGTAAAGAACATTATCAATGAAAGTTTCCAGGCGTTCTGTTTTTATATATTTATAATGTAATGAATGTTGAAAGAGATGCTTGATACGACTGGTTAGAAAGTTATTTAAATCTGCTAATCATACGAATATTGAAAACTTGCAGACTAGTACTCTTTAGAGAGCTGAAAAACGTAATAAAATTAACCGTTCCTTCGGAGAGATTCGAACCATGGACATTTTACCTGCCAGCGGAACGTGCTACCTCTTACACTAAGAACGAATGCATAGGAGAATACAATAATTCCATATTACATAAAAAGAAATTAATAGAAATAGGTTTTATATTTTAAATTTTATTTAAATTGTCTTAAATTTTATTTAAAACTAGCGGACTGCGGCCTAAACAAAGTATTCTATGTACAACGGAAAAGAAAGTGTATAAAAACAGTTTAATATCAATGAAATCAGTTCATTCTTTCCAAGCAACAGCTAATCGTAAATAATTTTTTTGTTGCCAAACCGAGAAACAAAAAGCTTTGACATTTCAGGTATGCGTATGACGTCATGATTTAATTTAATGTAATATGACAACTTTTTCTCAATATCAATGAAAGAATTAACCTGGCAATAACATATTATGCCAATTATCCTAACCTGATATAAAACAGTTGCCAACGGCAGCTATTTATTTAAAATGCTGACATTAAAGAACAATAACGGATATACAATGCCGTCACATGCAATCACGATCTTTCTTCAACGTCAGAATATGACCTTATAATAATAATAGCAATATATGTAATGTTTGGAAATGCTATTATTTCATATTTTGTCAAATTTACAAATTTTTGATTAATAAACTCTACGATTTGAAAGCCAGAAATGGCAACACATTTCTCAGGAAAGCATTTTTAAATCCAGCGTGCGAAACTGTTGCCACTTGGAAAAATTAGGGCGAAAATTAGAGTTTTCAGAGTTTTTAATTAATATTTCGGTTAATTAAAGTCGTACGAAGATGGAAATGGTCGAAGTGGCTTACCACGAAATTATGGAATAGGGAATATTATATTTAATATTTGGCGATGCTATTTTGATTCATATTTTGTAAAACTTCGAAATTTTTTATTAAGAATCAAAGAAACTCTTAAGATTTGAAAGCGAGCAGTGGCAACACTTTTCAAACATCTTATACATCTTATACAGAAAACATCTTATACATCTTATACATACTTAAATATTAGTTGAACGTATTTAATTTGATTATCAAATTAAATACGTTCAACTAAAATTTTCTTTCATGGGGATTACAAAAATTAGCAGCTGATCCTTGCTGGAAAAAAGTAAAACTTAATCAAAGTTACAATACTTCAAAGTAACGTAATTTGGTAAATATTGTCTGACTCTGTTGAGTATCCAACAACGACTTCTTACGAGCGTAAAGGGCTCGTAATACATTTAATGCACCAGAACTGATGATAGTTTGATAAAATTTATTTTTACGAAAAGAAATACTTCAAAGTTCTGGAACTTTCCTTAAAAGCACTCGTACAGCTGTTCTCAATATCACAGAGTATAATTAGTATTTACACCCCAAGCTATTAAGAACTATAAGGTATTTATCCCATTTTCCTAGAGTGCCTTCGTGGTGTAGTGGTTCTGCACGCTGGGCCGGTATTCTAGAAGTCAGTGGTTCGATTCCCGGCGAAGGCGATTGCTAACTTTTCATCTCTCCGGCTTCCAAAAATCCTAATGTCTCTACAGAATGTTAAACGCTACGCAAAGCGTATCTAGAAGTCGTTCTGGACTAACAACTACCGATAACTGATGCTATATTCTGTCTTATATAGTTTTCCCATGGCCGCCGAGAAATCTCTAGTACCTTCCAGTTCTCCAAATTTGCTGGGAGGAATAGGAGTGCCGGATACGGTTAATAGTTAAAGATCAATCGTATCTATTCAGTTACAATATCCATTAAAGTTGTACAGGGAACGGACCCAAATATCGCCAAATGGTCGCCAAGTTTGGTGACATCTCGCCAGTTTTTCCCACAAATATTATATGTGATATTATACAAAAAATACTACAATTCCACCTATAATTTCACTAAAATTATTTACATTTATACAAAATTCGTAGCAAGGAATTTGTTCAGAAGTCATTTTATGCTTATTCCCAACCGTTAAGTAACTTAGATCTTCTTCTGAACCGAACTGTAGGTCATACGAAATCAACAAGCATGATAACTCCATCATGCTTGTTGATTTCGTATCATCTTCAGAAGAAGATGTAACTACATAAACATTATAAAAACTTTTAATAACTCCACTCCTTAATAGAAAATCGAAACAAATACAGAAGATGATCCTTTCCTCTACATTTTCGCCTCTTTAACGTTAACTGTCCATCTGTTCATACCAAGAGATTGACGCATAAAAATCATCCAATTTAAGATGGCAACTCTGCTAGAATGCACGTGCGCGTGCGTAACATACATTGAACTCTCGAATATCCGAGTGCAGATGATCAGTTTTGCGAATTATCGATGCTTGGTGGTACCTATGCATGCACACTCAGCGCGAGAGTGTTAAAAACAAACACGCTGAAATCCGAGCATTCTTTCAAAACCGCTGAATTGCGTCTTTAACTTGAGTTTCAGTGATTACTTCGTATAATTCGTTCTGATTAATTAAGTAGTGGAAGATGATGATTAAGTGACGTTTTGGAAATGTTGAATACGAGTATAATGGATGCCATATACGGAGTAACAAAAGCTTGGTAGAAAGTAAACTAAAACAAGTAAGGCTGTTTCTATTATGTAGAAAGACTCTTTCTACTAATTCTGAGGCAATAATTGTGCGCGAAAAAAAACTGAAAATGTCACATTCTTCGGAAAAACATCGACGTATGGTTCTATGGCGATTCGACCGAACCGAGATTTCTGTGCTTGAGTGATGCGGACATCGTTCTTGGAGTACTAGCAGGCAGATTTTCAAAAATTTGACATTAATATACATTTGTAACAGAGAAAGAGAGCTTCCATTCAAAGGTCATTTTATTGTAATCATGATTATCAACAAAGCTCCTAGTGCAGGAATGTCTAAAATCGAAAATTGGGATATCGAAAGCAAAAATGAGTCTAATATAGGGTATGGGCTCCTCTTAGAGCCAAACAGGTCGCGCAGCGTGACGGCGTACTGGACAGAAACAGTTGAGGAGTCCCCATGGCAGTCGATCCCAATACTATAGCAAGGCAGTTGTCACCCACAGGTTTGTTCTCGGAGAGGGCTGACGAGATGAAATTGGCCTCCCAAGAGCGTCCCAGATATGCTGTATAGTGTTAAGGTCGGCATTTCTGGTTGGCCAATCCATGGAACGAATAGCCTTACTTTCCAGGTAATCGTCGATTAACTAGGCCCTATGTGGATGAGCGTTGTCTTCCTTAAACAAGACCCAGAACCACCTGCGCTCTTGAAAAGTGAAACTTAGGGCTTTAAGATATGCTTTGGTTGAATACGTATTGTAAAAATAGGCATAGTTGGAAAATTTTCTTAAGTTTTTCCCAATAAATAAACACGTGAAAAATGCATGAAAATTGATAGTTTGGATTATCCTTGCTTTTTGATTGTCCGTTACTTGCTTTCCCGGTATTAGCTCGAATAATTTAGATTACGTTGTGTCTACATCCGTGCAGAGCTACGAATCAGGCAGTCAGTGTACCAGGAACCGCTAGCCGGCGGAATTTTGGCAATGGAAGCTTTCCTTAGAACAGACTTCGTCACAGATATGAATATAGCAGGGGAATAAGGAAGATCTGTAGAATTAAGGGCAAGGCATCTGGATGATACATTTTTATTCCAGTAAGTTCCGTGCAACAACCAGCCATAAATATAGTTGTACTTTTGCTTGTCTGTACAATTTTAGGCTTCCATGATGCAGCTCAATATGACCTGTATAGGCTATTCCACAGGACATGCTGAGTCGAGTAATGGGAGCCTTCTCGTGTTATCATCCGGTGCCACTATACAACAAAGTTTGCTGTTTCGTGATGTCACTGGCTCATAGTCTGCTCAAAAGTAACTCTTTCTACTCCCTTTATGTTCTTCTTTGCTTCCACTACTGCCAAATGTTTGTTCTTAGGTGTTCATGCGTGGATTTATTGGTATGTCAAGCAAAGCCGTTGAACTAGAGCATTCGAAAGAGCCTAACCTGGTTTATCTACTGACTCTGATAAAGTAGGAGGACACGGATTTTTATTTTTCAAGGTTCTCTGATATCTGTACTTTCTCTATTATACACAGCATTACATGCCCATATGTATAGTGTTATTTCAAATATATGAAGTTACTACAAGCATTCACAGTCTTTCTGTTGCTATTTAAATTTAGTAATTAAATTTCGTATTATGATGAGTATGTACGCCGTAGTATAAATCATCTATATGCTATTCATACTACATATATTTAACCATGTTCTCATCTTTTAATTATTTAAATCTTTTCTGTTCTAGAATTCAAGGAGATGATGTTCGTGGTTATCTTAATATGGGTCGTGTTCTTACGCATCTTCGGAGGTATGAAGAAGCAGAAGGAATTTACTTGCAAGTGCGTAAATATATCTTATTTTTTTTTTTATTTTTGAAATGTATGTTAATATTATGATGAGTATGTATATGTTGATTTTCTGGAGATAAGGACACGATTTCGAATTGTCGTCAGTTTGAAAAATAAATTTAGGCAACCTTCCAATCTTAGATTTTTTTATAATAAGTAACTGTGCCTTAGGTTTACTTAAGGCCCACCAGCGGCCGAGCAGTAAAGTCGCTGAAAACTGGTAGTTCGGTCCGAGGCTCGAATCCCACAAACGGGCTGACTGCATGGGCGTTTTCGTGGTTTTCCCCAAGTGTAACGTGTAGAGGAACCAGTTTCCCTTAAAAGGTGCTTCACGAAAGCATCCCTCCCCTTAGGCAGATAGCCCTCCAGGCTCTGCCATAATCACAAAAAAAAAAAAAAAATCAAACCTTAGATGTCCTTAAGTTGCTTTTAAGAACAAGTAACAAAGGCACTTTATCTTCAAAGACTAAAAGGATTGTTTCTTTTCTTAAATGAATAAAAATGTAGGACCTTCTGCTTCAAGAAGTAAATTATTATATCTGTTTTCTTCAAGAGGTGAAAGTATTTTTTAGAATACCTTTCGATTCGGTAGATCAGAAATATTCATTATTGTTTCAAAATCTATATAATACACTAGAAAATTAGAGCCATCTAAATTTGGCATTTGCGTTATTTTGATTTTATGCATGTTTTTCGTCCACATAACGTCGATAGTGTAAGCTTAGTATAGATTGAAGATAACTGCATTCCGTTCGCGCACAAATGATTTAGAAATGTCAGTTATGCTAACATATTGAATAGACGTGCTTTTACCAGGTTATTTCATCACAGTATTATACAGAAAGGTCGTTCAGTCTTTGTGGAAACGATTTTGATAATCAATTTTTAAGCATAAAGAACGTATTTCTTACAGCAGACTGATAGCCTTCGTTCTTGGATGTTGCTCCTGCTCGAATTTCCATAAAAGTAAATTGTTTCTTAGCACCGTCGTGTCCATGTATGCTTGTCTTCTCGGACCGTATTCCAAAGTCTGTGTAGTATTCGTGGAGTGTTTAAGTGCAGTTTTCTTAAGGATCGTTTTAACAAACTAAACCAAACATAAAGCGCGGAAGTGCTTAAGAGAAGCGTCTGGTAATTATACAGATATTTCATTAAATAGGATAAATTTTATTCCTGACTCTGATTCCTTCTTTGCCAAATAAGCGGGTGAGACTTTGTCCATAAGAAGCGCGATTTTAGTCGTTTTCTTTCCATATAAGGCAAAAGGGAACAACAAAGTTATTGGCTTCCCCGCCTCGTGAACTAAATCGCCCTACGATTCTACTCCCCCTTTGGGCTCTTCGTGGAGGTTCAACCTCTACTATTACCCTTCCAGGGAAGCAGCGCACCACCTTGATATGACACCAGGCAGCATTGGTCGTCAATTGCTCCTGCCAGTCGCATGGCGAGCCCGTCGAAGTGGGCCGTTATCCAGCAAACCGAGGAGAACTATCCCTCCGGCTACGGTTCCACACCGCTCAGGACATGCCAGACCCCGAGGCCGGCCAATAAGTGACCTTTCCCAGGGCCTTCAGAACCACCAAGTTCATAAACTTTATACCCCCGTGACCGAGACTGCCTAGGTACAGATCCTAGCCAGTAGCTTCGCAGAGTTCTCTACGTCGACCCCCAGAGTGGAGGCAAAAGGGAACTAACTAATTCATACCGCTGGCCGATCAATTAAGAATATTCACCAAGTTCATAAACTTTATACCCCCGTGACCGAAACTGCCTAGGTACAGATCCTAGCCAGTAGCTTCGCAGAGTTCTCTACGTCGACCCCCAGAGTGGAGGCAAAAGGGAACTAACTAATTCATACCGCTGGCCGATCAATTAAGAATATTCAGGGATCGGCTAAATCAGACAGAAGAGTCACCCGAAGATGACTTTTAACACACCTGCTGGTCCTGGGGTCTCACATCCCAGAGACACCAACAAATTTATAAGCTCCCTTTGCTGGACGCTCAACGTTCAGCCGACCCACCGCTAAACCCGGACCAGTCAAGACCACCGTCTCGGCTGGACCGAGACCATGGTGGGGTGGGCGATGACTGGCCGTTGATTGAGGCTACCTGCCAGCACTACACGGGATGCCCCTCTCCTTAGGCTTTGCATGGAATACCAAGGACAGCAGTGACCAGACTCTCAATAGTCCAGTTTGCTATTTGGCTACCAGTACCCTGGTGGAGGGGACGAACACCTCCCGGCCCATGAAGAGCAAGTATAGACTTACCCCATGGACATTGGGAACTGCCTAGTTCATAAATTTTATACCCCCGTGGCAGAGACTGCCTAGGTACAGATCCTAGCCAGTACTTCGCAGAGTACTCTACGTCGACCCCTGGGGGAGGCAAAAGGGAGCAACAACAATTTGGGAACTCAATCACATTTACGGGTGATTTTGGCACTTCGTGGAGGTTCAACCTCCACTATTACCCTTCCAAGGGAGCAGCGCACCACCTGGATAAGACACCAGGCAGCACCGGTCGTGAAGTTGCTCCTGCCAGTCGCATGGGCGAGCCCGTCGCAGTGGGCCGTTACCCACCAAACCGAGGGGAGCTAGCCCTCCGGCTACGGATCCACACCGCACAGGACATGTTAGTCTCCCCGTGGCCGAGACTGCCTAGGTACAGATCCTAGCCAGTATCTTCGCAGAGTTCTCTACGTCGACACCCGGGGGGAGGCAAAAGGGAAGGGAAGGAAATCTTGTGATCTTTTTAAAGGAAACTGGCTCGTATCGACGTTCACATGAGGAAAACCATAAAAACACCGATTAGCCAGTCCGCTGCCCAGCATTCGGACCTCGGACAGAATTACCTGTGTTCAGCGACTTTACCGCTCGGCTGGTAGTGAGCCATAATTTGAATTCTGCATAACATAACACGACAACTCGGTTAATAGGATCAAAACACTACAGAATAAATATTTTAAACTCAAGTGAAATCGCCAAATGAATTTAAAATGCATTATGGAAAAGTATCAGGTTGCCGAAAAATGTCGCCAAGTAAGGGATTACGTCATCAAACATCGTTTCAGTCAGTAATTTAAAATTAAGTAACTGATGGAAAAAAGATTTTCAGTATTCAATAACTCTATTGATTTTGACATACATTTTCAGTAACAGTCGATTTTGTTCCATACAACAAAAGTTAGATAATTTCCAGAAACGTTGTAAGGTAGCTTTTAATTTTATAACAGTTATTTTAATTTTGAGACTCTTTCCTATCAATTCTTGTTTTCACTTACAACTCCCTACCAGAACGAGTTTTTGGAGTAGCGTTGAATGCAAATGAGTTAGAAGGAGTATTTAAGGAAGATTCAAGTAACTTCGATAAAGGGTGCTAGGCGTTCTTAGTAGCGCCTGTTTGCCTTCTGGATAAGTCGCCCGGCCGTATTATACGTGCCTATTGATATTCGCCGGCTAGTTTAAATTAAGGGCCAACTACGTTAGATAATTGTGTCTGGCATCGGGAAAGTCTCGTTTAGTTAATTATAGCTTAGTTTCTTATTTATTATTCCGAGTTAAAGTCCGAGTAGAGGCTTCCTGTAAGCCAGCGAAGGGGGCCGACTGTTATTCTTATTTTAGTGAATAAAAGGGCAATTGAACCGTTCTCGAGTCTACTTTTTAGTTGTTCTGAACTCAGCAATAAGTTGCTGCACCGTTCACTAGGTTCCTCGACGTTCGTCAAACAAAAGGAGGTAAGAACCCTGCAACCTTATGAACCACTCATAAATGAACAAGCCCACTAGCGGCCGAGCGGTAAAGACGCTGAACACTGGTAGTTCGGTCCGAGGTTCGAATCCCGAAACAGGCTGGCTGCATGGGCGTTTTCGTGGATTTCCCCATGTGTAACGTGTATACGAGCCAGTTCCCCTTAGAAAGTCCTCCACGAAGGCATCCCTTCCTTAAGGCAGATAGCCCTCGTGTGCTTTGCCATAATTGAATAATCCTAATCCATCCATAAATGAGCATTTTTATTAGCTTTTTCAGCATTTTAATTATGACAACGAAAAATTGCAAAAAATATACCCATTTATATGTTTTAATTACAGTGATTCTAAATTAGTTAAATTCCATTGCTATTTTGCAGAGCACATTCTTGTCATCGTTTAACATTATCATTCGCTTAATATTATAAAAATAATCGGGGTCATATGCGATTATGCGATTACAATAAACGGCGCGTACAGTAGTTTATAATAAAATCCGCCGTGTGGCATTTCATTATTAGTTTTTTTTTTTTTTTTTTTTTCCATTGTAAGCACAAAACTACTTCAGCCTGAGAAATAATGTTTTCTCTTAAGAACCAAAGCCAAGGCAGCATGAACTAGGCCTCACATGTAGGGACGTAATACCTTGTGAGTAATTAAACCTTAAAGCGTTAGTATCTAATACGTTAATGTAACGAACGATCTTCTGCTCAGAAAAACACTCTTATGTACTGCTATCAATCTACAAAGATATCTGTATCTTTCCAGGCCAAGGCTTTGTTTCCTGGGCCTGCCGAGACAAAAGAACGTGAAGTGAGGGTCACTCCAAATCATTTGCAGTTGTTCCTCAACTTGGCTTTCCTTATCTCTCGCAACGACAGCAGATTGGAAGAAGCGGATGCGGTGAGTACTTTTTTTTTTTTTTTTTTCTGCCTCTCTAGTGAAGTCACGGCCTTATCTGAGGTCCCAGGGGTCCTGCTATTCTGTTAGTCATGTCTGGCGATTAAGGAGTTTGTGCTGATGTCGACTAATAGCGTAACGGGAGGTAGACTGAGCCCATCTCCACCTTTTTTTTTTCCTGTTCTACTTGGTAGCTGCTGATAAACGGGAATCTACCTTTGTGCACCTTCCTGTAAATATTCTGTAGCAAAAGAAAAAGCTACATTGATGTTTCTTTTGTTACACGTTTCGATTCTATTGTTACTTTCGGCATAACGAAAAATTTCAGTTGATAATATAAGTTCAACCAGATTTCAGTTGATAATACTCACATAACCATGTGATTCGTGTTGGTAATAGCCCACCAGCGGCCGAGCGGTAAAATCGCTAAACACTGGTAGTTCGGTCCGAGGTTTGAATCCCGCGAGCTGGCTGCATGGGCGTTTTCGTGGTTTTCCCCATCTGTAACGTGTATACGAGCCAGTTTCCCTTAGAAAGTCCTCCACGAAGGCATCCCTCCCCTTAGGCAGATAGCCCTAGAGTACTTTGCCGTATTCTCAATACACCACCACCGTGGTGAGAATAAGGGTTTTGTTGAAATTTATATTTTCTTCAAATCATTATACTTTAGCTATTGTTTCTCAAAGCTTCCTCAAGTGGGGTCTACGTTTATAAATTATAGTGTTCTGCGGATTAACTTAGTAATCGAAAGCATTTTTTGTTTTTGTTTTTACCTACATGTTTATATCACTAAACTTACTTTTAAAATGCTATTAATTAAACTGGTACTTAATCGCCATCCAGATAGAAAACTGGTTGGTGAATCTGACAGCCGTACCGAAGAACTCGAGTTCGAATCCCGGAGAAGGCGTGAATGTAAACTGTCTCTTCATTCAATATGTGTGTCTGTGACAACTTGGGCTCACCAGACCCCTATGTCACGGAGTGCCCCTTAACAGCAGAATGGCACATCAAATTCCCAACCACCAATGTTCTGCCTTTCAAACGCCTCTTCGTAAAACATCGAGGCACGCGGCAAAAGCTTAAAAGCATAATGGACAAGCTATAAAAAATGGGCATAGACCTCTGCAGGCCGGAATAGGGCACATGCAATAAACATAATTGGCATAACGATTCTCAAAGCTTACTAAAGTAGCTAGGACAGCAATGGTATGTGTATCCGTAGTATGGAAATGTAACTGTTTTTAGTTATCCACGAGCCGACGTGCCGTTCAAGGCTAACAGCACAGTAATGGACAGTGCACATATAATACTGTAGATGTAACGTGACATGTATTGAGCACACATCTGTTAAGCGTCTTACAACTGTGAAGTCTCTAGATGGTTGCAGGGCCAGGGTAACACCCGAGTAGTCATAGAAAGCCGTCCGGGTGCCCTGTCCTGTTGCCACCTGTCACCTGTCTCTTCATTCAATAGGAGTCAACGATGGCCCACATATTAGGTGCTTCCATAATAAAGTGACCATCGCTTCCAACCTTAGTAGTAGCTAATACCTATAACGAGTAGTGCCACCATTCGAAACTAAAATAATAATAATAATAATAATAATAAATCTGAAATGTTTCAGATTTTAAATTACCGCCAAAGGGTAATTTTTTTAAACATTTTGTGTGTTACATTTATTTATTAAATATCACGTTCTTCGCATTTAAACCATAAAATTCAGTTCAACAGCAATATAGCAAAATAGCTTTAAAATAAGCATATCTTTAGAATTTCCTATCAGAGAGACTCACGCGCTGGAGGTAAAAATGTTTTTTCTGTACAACGTTGCCATTGCTCGCCTTGAAATCCTTGAGTTTGTAAATCAAAAATACGTTAAAAATTTACAAAATAGGAAATCGATAATAATACAAAATCAAATTTCGAATTTGTTCTTCCACGTGCCCATATTCGAGGAGGATTACGTCATTCAAAATTTGGTGGCTCTATGTACCGTTGCTTTATCACATTGTGAGAAATATATATATATTTATGCAGATTTTTCATAATTTAATTTATTTAAATATAACAGAGGGCGATAATACTTTGTGGCAACAGTTTGAAAAGTGATTCACCGTTTGTAGTGAATCGACGAAAAATCGCTAAACGAAAACAATAGTCCTTCAGGAACAAAGCCCCTTTGGAATAATAATAAAAATTAAAAACAAACGTAAAGAAAACTGAAAGCTTTCAGATTTTATGGTTACGTGTAAAGGAGCGTTTTTGCGTGTTACCTTATCGACGGAAAATGCCAGAGCGAAATTAATAACTCTTCGGATTTAAAAAAAATGAAACTGTAATATTATGTTATTATTTAGTAATTAAATTAATAGAAAAAATTGATATAGAATATTAATTCTTCAGCTCTATTTAATCTATGTAATTCAAGTCTATTTAAGTTTAGATAATTTGTTTCTTATTAGCTAAAAATTAAGTAAATGTTGGTAGTGTCGTCAATGAGATGGATGTGCCTGCCAATTCTTGCATAGCTGTTCTTTGTATGGATAAATGCTGGTAAGAAATACCACTGCCATAGTACTTTAAATTCGTCTTTTGTTTCTTGGACTACAGCATACGTTTACAAATTGGTTTATTTCAGGGATGGCAAACCTATGACACGCGAACCCATTTCGAGTGGCACGCATTTCCAAAGCGTCGACGGAGACGAAAAGTTACATTACACAAAAATGTTAGTTTCTTGCAACCTTCTCATTGTAACATGTCTTTCTCATTGTAACATGCACTGCGCTTATCTCTGTGATTTAATGTTCAGCTTTGGGAAAAAGCAGTGATTAAATTGCGTCGGTGCCCGGCTCCGGTACTTCTGAATTTTTAAGATAAATTACAATTCTAGCCAGAGCGCACCGGAACCTTAAATAAGATGAGCTCCAGTACTTCTTTTTATAAAACTGAGTTTTTTATAAAACAATAAGTAGATCTTGCAATACTCTATTTCCCTAGAAATACGAGCTCATGCGAAGTTCAAGTAAAGTCCCCACACTCACATGCGGAAACCTTTCCCTTTAAGAAGGGCAATAAATTTGGGGGAATTTGTTTAAGAACGCGTAAATTTCCCGCCATGCCATCGTGTCTAGTGTACTGTTATTGACGGTTATAGTTAGTTATCCTCGATTGAAGGAAAATTTGTGTTCTTAAATGTGCGTTAAGTGACAGCGAGTAGAATAAGAGTGAAATACTGAGGTAAACTTCTCAAGCACGTCCTATACATCATCTTCCCAGAGTATCCACTAATGTAACCAAATACGGAGGGGTCGAAAAGCGTAACCAGCAACTTTGCATTCATCCTTATGAGTCAGATTCAGGACTCATTTTACCACTGACACACATCCCCCTGATGGCTGTAATTATATGAGCAAAGAGCCGCGGTCAAAGAGAACGTTCTCTCTCACCAAGATTCCCCTCATTTTTTGTTTCCACCCACTCATACCCTCACGCCCTCATTCAGTTTCGCCCTCTTTTTAGCATTATCTTAATTTCCATCAGTTATATTTTAAGTATATTTAATTTTTGTGATGATAAAAGAACTTTTTTGCCTCCTACGATCAGAACTTAAATTTCTCCAGAGCCCACCGGATCCCGATGGTTCTTATTTTTTGTAATAAATCATAATTCTAGCCCGAGTGCACCGGAGCTCTAAATAAGAAGGTTGTGGCACTTCTTTTATGTAATTGAATAACAATTTCAGTAGAAATTTTATCTCGAGAATTTTATTTTTAGCAATAAAATCATATTAAAAATCGCTTATTAAATTTTAATTTATCTCTTTACATTTAATTTAATTTTAATCACTACATAGTATAAAACAAAGTCGCTTTCTCTGTCCCTGTATCCCTATGTATGCTTAAATCTTTAAAACTACGCAACGGATTTTGATGCGGTTTTTTTTAATAGATAGAGTGATTGAAGAGGAAGGTTTATATGTATAATAACATCCATTAAACAGTGGAGAAATACTGTTATTTTTTAGGTTTCTAATGTGATGTCGTAAATAATTACATTTTTCTCGCTTGCATTGCAAACGCAGGCTGAACCCTACGAGATTTATCAAAATAATGTACTGAATATTGTTATTATACACATTGAAAATATTTGTTATTATACACATTGAAAATGTGTACAGATTATAAAATTGTACAGATTAAAAAATTGCGGGACGTAGCTTTTGCGGCGGTACCGGCCGGCCGGGGCGGCGGGAGCGTGCCTGTAAATAGCGCGTCGGAGGCCGTTTCACTTAGATCCTCAATTGTAGCTATTATATTTCCAATGCATCTGATTTTGATTGAAGTTCCTTCTGTAGTTTGAATATTGTTCTTGAGATTGGTAAAACTAGTGCTGTGAGATTTTTCGCATTGGGTGATGAAATAGTGGTGTTGTAACGAGGTAGTCTAGGTTCTTGAATTGCTGTAGTGAATTGCGTTGTATAGTTGTATTGAATTGTAGTTGTAATTAGTATGTATTGATCGAGGTTGTATTTGAATTTGTCATTGGAACTATTGCTGTAGAGTATCTTTCTCATATTGTTGTCAGTGATTTGCATTGTCTTGGGTCCTTCTTGAAAGCTCTGATCGCTCGTCACATTTTGCGAACTTGTCCTGATTGGATTGTCTTGCTCCTTTGGTACTTCTCTTCTTCCCCTTATCCTCCGTTTTCTCATCTGAGATTTTCTCTACGTCTGGACTTATTTATGTCAAGTGCCCTTGGGCTTTAATTCTGGAACCGGCAACATTGCTCTTCGCAGTAGCTCGGTCCATTATAGAGTCTAAGTCTAAGTCTAAGCGGTTTTCCCTACAGCGCTTTGAATTTAGCAGCGATCGGGCGCGTTTATTATCGGAGCTCTCTAGCGAGGAAAATAACAATATACTTAATAAAAACGTGCTTTTCAGCGCGACAACGTATCAGTTAGGCAATCACTGTACTACGCATTCACTAATGACAAGAAA